ATTATATTTATATAGATTCGTAAAAAAAGAACATAAAAACGTGTTGGCAAGGAAACACTTGTTATATTTATATAGATTCGTAAAAAAGAACATAAAAACGTGTTGGCATGGAAACACTTGTTATATTTATATAGATTCGTAAAAAAGAACATAAAAACGTGTTGGCATGGAAACACTTGTTATATTTATATAGATTCAAAAAAAAAGAACAAAAACGTGTTGGCATGGAAACACTTGTTATATTTATATAGATTCGTAAAAAATAACACAGAAACGTGTTGGCATGGAAACACTTGTTATATTTATGTAAAATATAAAGTATTAGTAATGTCGAGCTAATGTACTGGTCAACATACAAATGTTTCCTGGTCTATCTAAAACACACCTCTAACATTAACAACACGCGTTTCATTAGAACTTTTCAAATACGAACATCTGTAAGGAATCATGTGACTCGACTTCAGGAAATCAGATAACTGGCTTCGATATTAAGCTTCGCACGAAAATCATTCTTTTAGTGTTATGAAAAACGGAAATGATTTAACGGAAATGCGTGAAATAAGATACGAGACGTCCTTTTATGAACGATTCACGCTACTCTCGCTGTAAGCTAAGCCTGTTATTAGTATCGATCAACTCTAGTATTACGTATTTCTTTTACTGGCGGAGTAATAAATAAGGAAATATTCACTCGCCTATCGATTAATACATGGTGTAATAAGGTTATTGCACTTTTTTTTAAATCTATTGGAAATGTTCAGCAAAACTTGACCTGTCCAGCACATCTTGAAATGTTTTTTGTTTCTTTGTAGTTAAACACAATTGGCTATCTGTGCTCTGCCCTCCACGAGTCTGCAGACATGCCGCTGTGGTTTGCTGGGGTATCTTTTGGTTTGCTGGGGTATCTACACTGTACCCACCTCAGAGATCGAACTCCGAAGTTAGTACCATAAATCTCAGGCATAGCTGCTAGTCCACTGGGGATATAACTAGAAAAGGTCGAGTATAACTTAGAAGATCGAGAATAACTGGTAATTAATGTAACTATAAATGTTGAGCACAACTTGAATATTTTTTTATATATTATTAAGTGCGGAGCTACAGAAGTGAGTATTTGTGCATTATAGCACCACCACCCAGGACAAAACCTTCCAACTGTATCGACTATATGAATAACAAAAACAAGTAATTTTATGTTTCATTGATATTGTTTTCTAACTTGTGTTTTTCGATTATATTTTACTAATATTTATTTATCTTAGTCCTACAGACTGACTAGAATAATATTTTTCCGACTATATATTTCATTATTTGGCATCAGGCAGGTGTACGTTCCTTTTACAAACGGATAACAGCCGGTACTGTGTTCGGAGCTTGCACGGCCGGAG